TTGTCAGATTAGGGGGGCCTCGGATTCACGGGCCACCTTCGAGATGAGGGAGATGGACATTGCTCCTTAACTTTATAGGACTTGGGGATTGAATCCGAAGGATACAAAGGATGCCCGACATCTACATTCCCTACATCCTGAAGCCCTCAGGTACCCCTCAAGAAGAAACACGTGCGACCTGCATCTGCCTCAGGTTCAATGTGAGTTGTGTTTTTCACGGTTTGGTGCTGAGAGCCTTGTGGATTTAAGCATGTCGATGTATTTCGCACTTATGGCGTTTGAGCTTGCGGGTTGCGGATGGTTGCGGGTTCGGAATGAGAATGTTGGGGTTTCCCTGCATCACCTATGCCGCCTAAAGACCACAAGGCCAAGGGGCTTACGGCTTTGGGCATTGCCTATCTAGCAACCCGAAACCAGCTTCAGCCTAGCATTTGCATAGAATCATAAAGGATGCATCCGAGAAGTCTTTTGAACTTAACTGGAGGCACCAATGCCTAAAACCCTGAGGGCATGTAGTGGCAAGGGACGCAGGTTTGTCGACCCTGACTTTGACCAGCGTTTGTGGTTTAGGCTTTCAAGGTACGGCAGGATGCAAACTTAACTGGCCAGGGAAGTGTTCAATAAGGCCTGGCAAAAAAAAGGGGAATCACATGCCGTCGTCTTGTACCAGTGCAACTGCTTCACCGACACCAAGGCATCCATCGAACGGCACATTACGAAGCCTCAACCCAGCCGAGCTCTCCTTCATGGCCCTCAAGCCCGTGTCAGAGTGCCATCCCTAAAAGAACTGGGAGCTCGAACATGTGGCGAAATGGTCGGAATCCGGGAGGACACCTTGTCACAGCTGGGGGCAAGCCCCCCGAACCCAAGTCTTAAATGAGCTGAGGGCCTGGCCCTAGCGCCCAGGTATTTTGAGGTTGATAGAGGGTGTAGACATGATGCGAGTGTTGCTGATCCTCTGGGTTCCTAGATGCTGGCAAGCCGACAAACTTCCGAGGGCACACGCGAGTTTTTTTGTTTAAGGGATCGGGTGGGGGATTATTATCTCCTGGCAAGCCTGATACTACGGGACACAGGGCCTGCAACTCAACAAGGCCCTACTCTGGATCAAGCAGCATTGCGATCGTGCTTGTTGTAGGGCCACCCACAAAGTCCGAAGTTCCAACAGGCTCTAAGCTCCACCCACAACCCACAATGGTCACAACCCACAAGCGCTTGAAAAACTTCAAATCCTTGGCTCGGTGCCTCTGATGTGAGGGTATTCGTTCCCACTTCTGTGGGCTCCTCTCCTAGGCGAAATGGGAAGGGCTCCCCCAAAACTAACCAAGGCGCCACTCCCGCGATTCGGGGGAGGGGGGCGTTTTTGGGGAGGAGCTGGGAAGCGGGGGCGCTTTGCTGGTGTTCTCCCTCGAGTTTGAAGCAAGGAATTGCAAGCCCCGCTAAGGCTAAGGCTGTCATCCCAGCACTGCTTGTCAAAACGCCTCTTTTAGGTTTAACCCCTGGAGGCTCCAAACTACTTAAGACAACCAGGACCATAGAAGCAGTAGCAGTAGCCACAAAAGCGTAGGACCACTGTAGGACCACTGCAGGACCACTGTAGGACGTGCAGGATGTCGGTTGGGCCTCGAGCCTCCTGAAACCCTTTCAGTGCTGAGTGCCCAGCTCGAGCACCCAAAAGTCTCAACCTTGGGCTGGATTCAGCGCTCTCTGGCATTGTTTGAGGCGCGGACTTCTGTATTTGGTTCTGTCGGTTCCAGACTGTCAGGATACACAGGAACTGAAGGCTCAAGGCTCAAACCCGCATTATAGGCAACCACCGAAGTTTGAACCATACACAACCCAAGCAATGCAGCACATAAGACCTCTCTGGCCAGCAGCTCAAATCAATGATCGGAGAGACATCGCTTTGGGGCCATTACAAACATTAACTACTACCTGCAGACCCACAAACCCCCATCGCAGGCAACTCTGAATACCAAGTTCTCCCTAACTATACTTGAGAGCATCGCGGAGAAAGCTAGTTCCCTAGCAGAAGGCCAGCGAGTAGAAACTCCGCAGAAACTCAAGACGAGTAGAAATTGCAACGAAACCTTCCGCAGAAACTCAAGACGAGTAGACATTGCAACGAAACCTTCCACAGAAACTCAAGACGAGTAGAAATTGCAACGACGCCTTCCGCAGAAACGCAAGACGAGTAGACATTGCAACGAAACCTTCCGCAGAAACTCAAGACGAGTAGAAATTGCAACGATACCTTCCGCAGAAACTCAAGACGAGCAGAAATTGCAACGAAGCCTTCCGCAGAAACGCAAGACGAGTAGAAATTGCAACGAAAACTTCCGCGCAGAAACTCAAGACGAGTAGAAATTGCAACGAAACCTTCCGCGCAGAAACTCAAGACGAGTAGAACTTGCAACGAAACCTTCCGCAGAAACTCAAGACGAGTAGAAATTGCAACGATACCTTCCGCAGAAACTCAAGACGAGTAAAAATTGCAACGAAACCTTCCGCGCAGAAACTCAAGACGAGTAGAAATAGCAACGGAACCTTCCGCGCAGAAATTCAAGACGAGTAGACATTGCAACGACACCTTCCGCGGAAACTCAAGACGAGTAGACATTGCAACGAAACCTTCCGCAGAAACTCAATACGACTAGAAATTGCAACGAAACCTTCCACAAAACTCAAGACGAGTAGAACTTGCAACGAAACCTTCCGCAGAAACTCAAGACGATTAGAAATTGCAACGACACCTTCCGCAGAAATTCAAGACGAGTAGAAATTGCAACGAAACCTTCCGCAGAAACTCAAGACGAGTAGACATTGCAACGGCACCTTCCGCAGAAACTCAAGACGAGTAGACATTGCAACGAAACCTTCCGCAGAAACTCAAAACGACTAGAAATTGCAACGAAACCTTCCACAAAACTCAAGACGAGTAGAACTTGCAACGAAACCTTCCACAAAACTCAAACGAGTAGAAATTGCAACGAAACCTTCCGCAGAAACTCAACTCAAGACAAACCTTCCGCAGAAACTCAAGACGAGTAGACATTGCAACGACACCTTCCGCAGAAACTCAAGACGAGTAGACATTGCAACGACCCCTTCCGCAGAAACTCAAGACGAGTAGACATTGCAACGACACCTTCCGCAGAAATTCAAGACGAGCATATAGAAATTGCAACGACATCTTCCGTAGAAACTCAAGACGAGTAGAAATGGCAACGAAACCTTCCGCGCAGAAACTCAAGACGAGTAGAAATGGCAACGAAACCTTCCGCAGAAACTCAAGACGAGTAGAAATGGCACCGACACCTTCCGCAGAAACTCAAGACGAGTAGAAATTGCACCGACACCTTCCGCAGAAATGGGCTCTAGGGGGACTTACGAGGGCTATATGGGGGTCGTAGGGGTTTATATCCGGTGTTTAGGCGGTTGGGCCTTTGTATCTGCAGGCGCTACTCGTCCTTCGGGCGCCAGCTCCTCAAGGCACATCGAGGCACCAGCTTCGAGGACCTACTTGGCGGGTTTGGCGGGTTCATTGGTAAAACGAGGAATGAACTTTCGTAATACCATGCTTATAATGGCTTATAACCCTACTTATAAATACCCAAATTAAATAAGCCTTCAAGTATCAGCTTCTGAGTCCAATATATCCAGTCTGATCCACCATCCCTGGGTCATTGAATGTTGGTGGCATGAGTTCACAAGCTCATGCGCCTTCAAGACTCCGATTTCTTAAAGGCTTACTTGGAGGTTGCATGGGTACTTACAAGTAGGGTGATATATAAGTATGGTCCTATGGTATGATTAGCTGTAACCTATCTATAGCTATAGCTATATATTTAGGGTACTTCTAACCCTACGTACAAGTATATACCCATGAACCTCCAAGCAGGGCAACTGCAGGCGAAGTCGCAGCTCTCCTCCAAATGGACTTGCCGCCCACCGAGGTTTGGACTTCCCAGCAGCCGCGGATGATCCGGCGCACTGGCGGCTGGCAAGGGCGAAGCCATTTGTAGAAGCAGTAGACGAATGATCCTAAACCCTGAACCCTAAACCCGCTAAATATAAGATGTACAACTCACGCAACTGGATGGGACATATCTGTGCCACGCGCCTTTCTTCATTCCAGTGAGCCAAGAAATGCCGGATGACGCCAGCGCAGAACAAACGTGAGAGTGGAGAGTCCCGACTGCCGAAACCACTTAATCCCCTGTCAGCCTGGGGTCCTATCGCTGCCAGGACCCTTGTTTCTTTTGGGGGGATACCTAATCTTCTTACGATGTCATGCTAAACAGAAACACTAACCTCTGTCATCACTCAGTAGCTTAGCCTTGCTCTACTCCAGCAAAGCAACAGGCCTTTGCACTACCGAATGCCTGTTGTGAAACTGAGAAAAAGGCATCTACGCTCGAGCGAGGGACTGTGACCCATCCCGGGGCAATTTCAGGGGCTCCCAATGCCTGCTCCGTCCTTCCCGCCCCCACCGCCTCACCTCACCGCCCCTCCCCATGCTTCTACGTATTACATGCTTCATCAGGCTTCCATGTTTTGCCATTGTTATTTGAGCCGTGTTCTCCAACCCTCCTCCCCGAAAAAAGCTCACGGCTACTTGCTCCTTGACCCTGAGCTCACTCACCGCTAATATTGCACCCTGAACCTGTATGGGGAATTCAGGACCCACAGATGAAGCCTAATCCCCCTTCCAAGTCTAGCACCAAGAACTGCTGCCGCTGAAGCTTGGTAAACGAGCACAACACTTTAAGATGGCATCCGCAACTAGTCTCGAGCGCTCTCCCAACGATGCTGCGGACGTCAGCTTCAAGATGGCCTGTTCTGGCATGTGCTGCTTAGTGCTGCTTCTCTGCTTCTGAAGAACTTCGGCGTGGGCGGCGCAGGATTCTGATCGAGAGGGGCCGCCACTGCTGCAGCGGAAGCTGCGGAAGCTTGGTAAGCGCAAGACGTTCTCTTCCAGCAGGCCCAGCCTTCCTTCATTAGCCGCTTCGGCAATCATTTTCAGATAGCCAAAGCATCTGCAGGTCTTCAACTAATTCTTGCTGGCACGCGGGCTGATGACGCAGGAATCTGAACAACAGGGACGCCCACTGCTGCCGCTGAAGCTTGCTAAGTGACTTCACAACATTGCTAAGGTGACCCGTGCAGGGCACCACCTTCGGCAAGCTGCTGTCATTGCTGGACCCCGAAAGCAGTTCTTCCATCCGGCCCAGCATGTCATTTGCGATAAGCTGCTGCACAACTGGGAGGCTCCTAGTTCCATACCAGGTCAGAGTCTGGTGTGCAGCCTTTCGTACCGTTGAATCTGCGGCTCGGCAGTGCCCAAGCAAGTCTCGAACGTTCTTCCGAAGGATGCGGCGGACGTCAGCTTCATCAAAATGGGTTGCCCTGGCCTTTGCCAGCACCAGACACCAAAAACGACCTGAGATTGAAGAAATAGTCAGATGCTCGCATGGGCTTAACAGAGGCACGAGGGTTGGGGAGCGCATTTGCGTGATGGGAAGGGCTTCGTATGCTTTGAAGCAAGCTTGCCGGGCGCTTAAAAATTGCAAACGCAATGCTCGCATGATGGGTTTGGATTTAAAAAACAGGGGGTTGGGGGGGGGGGGGGGGGGGGGGGGGCGGGCAAACACCCCCCCCCCCCATTTCCAAACACTGGATTCATATGCTTTTGGAAAGCACGCTTGGCTTAAAAAGGTACGATAGGCAAGGATTCATGTGCTTCCAAGCAAGCTTGCACGGGGGGGGGGCAGGGGTTGGGGCGGGTTTGGGGCGGGGGGATGGGGGGCTTATGCGATTTAAAAAAAGCGGGGCTGAGAGGCTGCTCCCCCAAATCCAAGCGATGCTGCAGCGATGCTTGCATGATGGGTCTGGAAAGAATTTGTGTGCTTTTTAATCAAGCTTGTAGGGATTCATATTCTTCCAAGCAAGTTTGCACGGCAAAAAGGAAAGGATTTGGGGTGGCGCAACATTTGCAAACACAATGCTCCCCCTCATTTGCAAACACGATGCTGATGGGTCTGGCAAGTAGGATTGTTATGCTTTCCAAGCAGGCTTGTTGAAAACAAAATGCTCGCATGATGGGTTTGGAAGGGTTTCACTTGCTTTGAAGCAAGCTTTCACAGCTTAAGAAAGCAGCGGGCTGGGCAAACACAATGCTCGCGTGATGGGTTTGGAAAGGGCTCTTCATACGCTTTGGAACTTTTCGCGACTTGAAAATCTGCTTTCGAGGCAAGCTTGCACAGCTCAAAAGCAGGGGGAGGTTGGGGGTGGGGGAAGGGGGGGCGGAAAAGCGGAGAAGCAGAGAAGCGGAGAAAGGTGAGACCAGAGGGCAGGCAGAAAACAAAAAGCGAAAAGAACAAATCTAAGCACACACCAGCCATACCGCACTCGGCAAGGCTGCAAGATGCGATGCGGAAAAAGATGGACATGCTTCCGATACATAAAACAGGGCAAGAGACAACCGAAGAACTTCTGCCGCTCGACATTGCTTCCACAGGCTGTGGTGATGCTGAAGTCGCGGTTGTCACTCTTCATGGCCATGACAACATTGGCAAATTCAGTAACTGCTTCGGACCTGTGGAGCAGAGATCACGGGCACTTGCTTACAAGTGCATGGCTCGCTAACACGCAAAGAGAATGCCCTGATTCTCTCGCGCCTGTCCAGCCTGCCCATCTCGGCCACGTGATCGAGCAAGGCCTAGCCACGCTCGCATCAGCGGGCTGGCCGTGCTCACCAACTCATCACTATAATGGTATTCATGTGTGGAAAGAACCCTGTATATCCTGTCAATGCTCGCGGGTACTTGAAGGTCAGTTCCATATTGCCTTGGGGCTCCTGGTCTGCTTGGAGACCACGCGCCAGCGCACCAGATCATGCACCTGCGGAAGTGCATAGAAATGCACTGGCATGAGCGGGACTGCCCTCCCGACACGCCCAAAAATCGACAGGTGCAGACACTCGTGTGTCGGAGACAAGGCGCCGCGAGGTACGGAAACAGATCCGACCTCAGGCTTCTTCGACGAGTCCCTACATTGTTACGTAATGTTCCATGGTGTTGCTTGTCCTCTCCAGGATCTGCGGCGTAAGATAGCGTAAGTCTATGCATGTCTATGCAAACGGATCCTCAGCAGTCCGAGGCACCACAGGAGCCTGTAAGGATCCCATTCCTCGGCTCCGACCTCGGAACGAACTCGAGAACGGAATGTCAGCTGCACGGTTTGGGGCTGGAACTTTGTAAACCGAAACAACCACCATGCTTATCTTGATGTCCCAGCTGCGCATGGACATTCGGAACAAGCCGTTGCCGAGGTCTTCGTCAAAGATGACTGGTCCTAGGGAAGAGCATGCAACACAGCAAAAATTCCTGATGGCGCTGCCAAGCTGGGCCAAGCTGAAAAGTTGGGCCAGGAGCCTGCGCTGCACCCTGCATTCCATCCAAGACCACTGCCGGAGAGTTAGCGCCACATGTCCTGAAAGGGATTCGAGCAGATTTACGGCATGAGGTTCCTTCCGCACACAACAACCCTTCGGCAGTGACTGGCAGCAACCTCAGCGGCTCACAACCATTCACAACCACTCAGGGTCGCTCAGGCAATGGCTCGCGTGGTTCGCGCTTCTGCATCTCCAGCGGCTGCTCCAGGTCAGACAGCTGCTTTCGCATGAGCTCCAGCTCAGACTTCAATTGCCCGGCAAAGGCTTCGAGAGCGCCTGACCTGGGATTCGCTGTGATTTAACGGAACCGCCCTCATGGGAGCAGTTCCTGCTCGAGTGTTGCTCTGGTCTGGACCCCAAAAGTCCCAAAAGTGTGCCGGCGAGCTTATGCGGAACCTGGGAACCGGGCTCCGACTCGAGCTCGGCACAACGGCTCTGCTGGGATGCCAGCTCCTGGCGTGCTTCGTGGAGGGCAGCCTCGACGGACCTGGGGCACAGGTTCCAGAAAAGCTCCCGCAAGCTCTGCTCTTGGGGCGGGGTGGGCTGTATACATGGAAAGTGGCTCGCAGGCTCGCAAGGGTCTGCTAAACTCAAGCTAGGCAGCCAATACTTTTCCTCCCAGGCTGCCTCCACATTGCGGCACCTGACTTTTTGAAAGCCATGGAAGCAAGGCACGCCACGAAGGGGAGGTTCAGGGTGCGATGAGCTAACGCTGTCCCAATATTCGACACATTGTGACAACGCCACGGCTTCTCAGCATTTCTCAGCTCAGCCCGCCCGAGTGCTGCCAAGCCACGTGGTCTCAATCTCAGGGTCCTGATGGTAGCAGAAGGCAAATGATGGCTGGCTCTGACGAAGCTCTGCACATGAGGAGTCTTGGGAACTGCTACATCCTGCTACGACCCGCTGGTGCAATGCCCTGCGCATCGCTGGACCTGCTGGACACACTCGACCCGGGGGTCCCATCGGACATTTCGGAGTCCTTTCACCGCAACGTGCTGATGTCTGCATTAGGCTTCGATGACTGAACAGCATTAGGGGCGAAACCCCTAAATCTACCCTCCAAACCCTAGATCGGAGGGGAAGCTCTCCAATTAGCCCCAAAACTGTCTGCGGCTGCAACTGAATGCCCCCGGACGCATGGCTTCTGTCCGTCTCCTAGCCTTCTATCTATACTTGGCATCTCTCTCTCTCTCTCTCTCTCTCTCTCTAGGGCTTGTTTAGGATTTGGGCTTCGAATTTGCAGGTCCTGATGTCTGCCAAAACAGGAAGCCAAGAAATGCCAAGACTTGGGAGAAAGGCCTCCAACTCACTCGCCGTCGGGCTACGATGACTGAACAGCATTAGGGGTGAAAATTACTAGATGTACCCTCCAAACCCTAAATCTTGAACAAACGCTAAACCCCTCGACCGAAGCCGAAGCTTTCCCATTCGCCCCAAAACCGTTTGCGGCTGCAACTGGATTAATAGCTTCGCTGCCAGCGCCCACTGATTTGGTAGGGGCCTAGAGGCTTGTCGTATGTCCCTTTTCTTCGTGCTTGTAGGGTTTGGGGGAGCGTCTAGATCTTCCGTGCTCGTAGTATGAGGGGCTAGTGACTGCCCTGTGTTCCTGTGATTTGGTAGGGGCTTGGAGGCCTAAAGGTTTGTCGTATGTCCCCTCCCTTCGTCCCTTCGTGTTGGAAGGGTGTTGTGAGGGCCCGGGAGGTTTGTCGTATGTCCCCTTTCTTCGTGCTTGTAGGGTTTGGAGAGTGTCTAGATCATTGTCATATATCATTTGCTTCTGTGCTCGTACTATGAGGGTTAGTGACTCTCCTAGGAGCTTTGTCATATGTCCCCCTCCTTCGTGTTCCTGTGATTTGGTAGGGGCCCTGGAGGTTTGTCGTATGTCCCCTTTCTTCGTGCTTGTAGGGTTTGGGGAGCGTCTAGATGAGTATCATATATGATTTGCAGCAAAGTTCCCCCACCTAACAATCCTCCAGGCAGAAGTTTCTTGAAGTTTTTGTATGTTTTTTGAAGGCTGGCTTTATGTTGAACATCAACCCTTTGAATTGCTCCCCTGACCTCCCAACTGTTTGGGGAGCGTTCAGATTATTGTCATATATCATTTGCTTCCGTAACCCTGAACCCTCGACATCCCTCGAACCCTGTCCTCTGACTCGGGGTTGAGGCAGGGCCCGTGCCGCCCGGCCCAAAATGATAAAGAAAACAGTGACCCCAATACTCCGGCCCGTGCTGGTCATCCCTGTCCTCCTCATCCGTGATATCGAAGAACACGCAATTTGGATTCTGGCGCACTGGGTCGTCCTGGCCAATGCACCTCGGTTCACAACAGTCTTCCCTGAAGAGAGGTCTGACTCGCTAAGGCGGCTAGCTTTCCGCGTCATGGTGGACAGGATCCACCAGGTATAGCATGGGCCCCCATGAGCATACCTATTGAGGCTGTTTCTGAAGTAAGCTGAGCAGCCGTCCAGGAGACAAGGTCTCCTGAACCTTCCGCTTCTTGCGAGCAGATTTTGGACTTGTGGAGCAAGATGTGAGAAAGCGCTTTCTCCTCACCTTGTGCTGCATCTTCGCACCTGTGGCCTCATACCTCGGTTGTTCCGAGCGCGCTGAGTCTAGTGTTAAGTCCCCAGATCCATTGTCAATTCTTGAGAGTGCGTTTGAGAGGCCGAGAAAGCCAGGGAACGAGAGTGCCCAAGAGGGTTTAGAGTGTCGGCGTATAAGGTGTAGACAATTAGAGTGGCGTCGCTGCTCTGAAGATGAACACGTCTTCCGACGGTGTGAAATGCCTCTCCCGCGTCTTTCCAGTGGTCGTCTTACTCCCTAAGGCTTTCGCCGTGCTTTTCGCTTAGCTTAAGTTAGTCAAGTCAAAGTTCTGTCGATTGTTCCAGGGCATGCTTGGTTTTCTTTTCAGACAAACAAAAATGCCCACGCCGTGTAGCTGATGAAGTACGGGTGAGGGAGGAGACGGGGGGAGGAGATGGGGCTCCACATCCAATTGCATGTCCAACCAAAAACAACACTCCCACAGCATTTGCAAGCAGCATTCCCCAAGCTCCTTCCAAATTGGCTATCAGCTATTGGGGCTACAACTAGTGCTGGCAAGTCTCTGACATTGGAGCCTGCATATCTGTCGCTCCACGCTTGTGATGTGAGCAGCAATCGCATGAAGCAAGGTCTCCTGCCTGGGCCAATGTTGTGCTTGCCAACGCTGCAAACGTCAGTGGGGCTCCACAATTGCTGCGTTCCGAGCCAGGCCTGGACGAAGTCAGCGACTGCATCCCTTCGAAACTTTCATCAGATGTCTGCGAGTGAGACCTGAAGGCACTTAGGACAGGCTGGCAAGGCAGTGCTGGGTGCCACAAACTTTCACTGAAAGGCTGGAAACACCCCAAAGCCAAGTCCCTTCGAGGCTCAGTGGGAAACATCCCTATAAAGCAAGCTAATTCCCTGCTTCCCGGTAGGGGACATCCAAAATACTGTCGTACTGATATTACAAGCGAAGTAAAGGTTAACCGCTGTCTCTCCCTGATACACCTTGAGGCCCAACCTCTGTTTCCACCTCAGGCTCGTAATAATAAAACTGGTGAACCTGACGAACGGATCACATGGCAAGTCTAATGATTTCCTCTTCCAAAATCCTGTCTCAAAGAGTGAGTGAGTTGACTGTACTCGTGTAAATTGTTACTGCGTTCAAAAACTATTGCAAGCTTTACGCTCGAATAATATTATAATGAACGCATTAAAATCATGAATGACGCGTAACACCGTGACACCCAGGAACCCAACATAGAAGCTAACCATTCATCTCTCTCACTCTGTTCCGCAGCCTTGTTCGATCACCAGCTAAGACGCAAGCTCATAGAAAGGTTAACCGCACAAAGGCCCGAACTTACCAAATGCTGAGACGTGGGAAATGGGGGTTCCGGTCGCTCTCACAATACTATTAATGTGTGCTCTTCGCGTTGCGTTCACGCATTTCATTTGCAACGCCGTGAGCACACAGTAATAATATGAAGAGAGCACACAACGGATGACACCTTGACCTCATGCCCTCTTCCAAAATCCTGTCTCACCCTCGTAACCGACACCAAGACTTGCCGCAAGTTCTCTCTCCTGAAAAGCGCACCAAGAGGCCCCGCCAACTGCTGCCCCACCGGCTGCATTGGCAAGTCTCGTGCGAAGTCCTTCTGGGAGGCATTTTGCGTCGACCGACCCTACCGAAATGGGATGCGCAACTCAAGATCCCTGAGCAACGAGACGCCACGTGAACTTGGGGAGATCTTTTGTAGCATTAACAACAACCAGCTCGAATCCTCATGGCGCCAATGACACCGTTAACGTTGCTTAACAAACGCCGAGCTGTGCAAATCATTGCAAATCGATACATCTGAAAGCAGAGCTCTATATAAATTGATGCAGCTAGACTGATGCATCTCAACGAAAAAGCACAAGTCCATATATGTAAACCGAAACATGTGATGCACCTCGAAGTTGACCACGACACAGGGATTTCTATGACAGAGTGCAGAGGCTGACGGGAAGGGGTCCCAAACTGTCTTGAACCTAAACCCCTAAGCTTGTCACTACGAACGCACACGTTCTCCGAGAAAACTGCCTTTCAGGGTGGCTCATGGCTTAGAGGCTTAGAGTTTACGTGGAGGGGCTTCAGACCCTAAACCCCGCCCGCTGAACCCTATAAACCCCAGTTCAGGGTCTTGTGTTTTTTGAGGCTTTCTGTCTTGCAGCGAGGCTTCTCCCGCCACGTCATCGTCGATGGGAGGGTCATGCCTTGTTGCTGTCGACACTCCCAACAAGGTGTTGGACTGTTGGACAACTTGGGTTTCCGGACGAAACCCTAAACACTTAGAGGCCCGAAACCCTAAGCCGCTGACATCCGCTGAGCTGTTCCTTCCCTGAACCCAAGACGAGAACCAGTGCCAGCGTAGCAACGACATGCAACGACACCGTCACCCCCAAACAGATTCCCTGGCTGCCGGGGGGCGGGAAATCACCACCTTCGTCCTGCGCGCTGCTCGACTTGAGTTCAGGGTTCAGGGCTCATGCAAAACAAAAACACAAGCCTTTCGTTCCCCAAGGCCCGCACAAGACGAACTCCCACAAATCACAAAACTCGCCTAGGGCCGTTCCCAAGCCTCAGGGGTACCTCCAAAATACCTCCGACAACAATAATTATAGAACCCCCTGCAGCCATCACGTCATAGAGCACCCTTGTGCTCTAGTGCTTATACTAACTGCATGCCCGCCCAAGATGCGAACAATAAACAACACAAGCACACGCACACACACGCACACACGCACACACAGACACACACATGCGTGACCACATTGCACATTACCGTCTGTATTTTCCCACACTGGAGTGCAGTGTGGTGCCACGGCATAAACAATCCTTTGCATTCTCAATCGGTATCGCGTACCACATGTGCGACAAAAGACACTCCAACCAGCTGCCTCGTCGTGCTCACTGAGGAGCTGTTGCAGCAGTCGCTGGGCTCTGGCTTCAGTTGTCAGTCCCATGGCGACGAAATGCGACAAGCAGGAGACAGGAAGCCCAGTTCAGTTCCATTGGCTGGCCTTTTGTATTTGTCTTGGTTTCAAAGATGTTTCATGTGGGGAAGCGCAAGCCTCCTGAGTCCACATCGTAAGATTTGAGAACTCAGGTAAGATTCTCAGGAAACCTACAATAACCTACAAACAGAGGAGGTTCTGCGCTTAGACCCGATCTCTTTCAAGGGTTGTGGTCACCATGCGAATGACTAGACCAAAGTCCTTGAATAGTAGTTCGTAGAACCCGAAGGCCTATCACGCGGGGCTGTGACAGGCTTGGGCCTTGGGCTGTTTGGGGGCGTAGTCGCCCAGATGGCTGCGCGAGCGACGTGTTGCAAGATGGACATCATGCAGCCCCCAAACAGCCCAAACACTCTAAACTCTAAACCTGCAAAGAGCCGAAGCCTCCATGTGTCATGTCGATTCAATTCGGGCCTTTTTTAAACTAAAGGGTCCGCTCCCAGACATACCCATCATCTCCAACCATTTTAGGACGATTTTGTGAAAAGCTTGCCATTTCAACTTGGATTGGTCTCCACTGAGGCACCTTTGTGCTGCAAGGGAACGCAAGCTCGGAACAAGCGCGTGCTTTAACTCCGCGCATAGATAGAGTCGATCGAGTGTTTCCTGGATCCGGTGCTTGGGAAGGACTGCTGATTAACTTGTGGTACAAAGGGAGGAACCTGGAGAATTCTGAGAGGGCGAATGATTCTGAGAGATGGACAGTAAGGGCATTCGTTTTCCTTAACAAATTCAATAAGGCTCCTGATGACCTGCCGACCGGGAGTCATGTGGGCGCTCGCATACCAGTGAAAGCACGTGGCTTTCTGGGCCTCTGACGCTGCAGAGGGAGAGATATTTTTGGGTTCTAGTGATGTGCTCCATGCCTTGATTTGGCCAGGCGGATCCTCGAAAAGCCGGCGAAGAAGGCTACTCTACGAGTACTACACAGAGTCAGATAGTCAGATGCCTGTCACGATGTCGGGTTGCAGTCGCGTATGGTGTATGGTCGTGTATGGTCGTGTATGGTCGTGTATGGTCGTGTATGGTCGTGTATGTTCTCTTGGTCTCCGGTCTCAGCAAGGGTTCGGCTCGGGGTGGTCGCCCGTGATGTCTTCGGCAACGCGATGCGGATTCGCTGCTAGCATCTGCTAGCAAGCACGGTAGTGTGAACCATTGTGAACCCACCTTCACAGATGAAGTCCAGAACCGAAGGGCACCGTGGACACACAGCTGCCGGGCTAGTGCGGTAAGGTCAAGCGAGCCTGGGCCACGGCGGAGGACGTGTACTGATGTTGTCTAACCCTCGTTAGGTCGACCCTGGTACAAGGCTGTCCTTCTGAGAGGCCGCATCTACCTGGTAAGCAGCTTCCGGTTAGCCGAAACAAAAGAAAAATGGTAGAGACTTTTTGAACCCTTCACACTGAACCCTTTTGGGTTTTTTGTCGTAGATAAATCCCAGCCAAGCGGAGAGTCAGAGAGTCGCGAGAATTGCTTCAGGATTCCTGTGTTTCACGCTCGCTAATGCACCCGGAGCTCTTCCAGCTGCTGACGGCAAGTACAACGGGGAGCGCTGCACGATGCTGTGAACTTGCTGACCCCGACACTTATGGGATTTAGGCAGGCCGGACGGGCCGGACCAACAAAGGGCGAACAGGACAGTTGCCACAGGAATGGGGCGACC